AACTTCATGGCAGAGTCACACCCCCCCAAGTATGCCTTAATGTAAATGAAAAATCAGGAATGAATGTGCCATATTTGCAATATTTTAACAGTTTTATTGCCAAATTTTGCTGTAAATTTTGTAGATTTGATTATAAAAATGCAAGTTCTTATCTTGACAGATGACAAAATGCATAAAGCACTGGTGCAGAGGGATGGTGCTGGCTTGGCAGAGGTGGGAACCAAAGTTTGTACACTGAGCAGTCTGTCTGTCAAATTTTCCAGATACAAAAGACATATTTTACGGTGTTTCTAGAGAATAAGATTCCCTGAGCTCTTTGCTGCTGGATTTCTGTGTTCATGTTTTCAAGAACATTCAAAATGCAGATGGGGGTGGAGAAATGGGTGCAGTTTTGGTTAGAAGTTAGGTTTATTAAGCAGCTATTATTAGGTATCAGGTCTTCCCAAATGTAGATGCCATTAAGAATCTAACTTTTGGCATTAAAGGTAAGATTACAGAGCTAACTGCAAGAAAAAAGCTTTAAAACTTTAGAAGAATTTTAACATACATTTCATAATTCCAGCGAGGATCATACTGGGGATACAGTTGGATTAATTCTTAACATGTGGTTGGGATGACTTGGATAATCTATTTGTAACTGCTGTTTGTGAGCAGCGAGACCATGGCAGAACATGATCTGGAAATTCAAACAAGTGTAAAAGAAAGTGAAGTCACTGATGACAATTGGAACTAGATATTAGTAAAAGTTCTTTAATTGAACATTCCTGCGATGGAGTCAAAATGTGAGGATTCTACTTACTATTTTTCCACATCATAATGGAGAAAAGAGTTATAAAGACTCATTATTTAAGAGAACAACCTATATATTCCACTGCTTAACCAGTGCTTACAAGACTAAAGAAATACTCTCAGGTTGAAGACCCTGACTATGGTAAGAACAGCAGTTTTATGAGGAGTGACAGCAGAATCTGAATTCTGTGCCAGCTTTGCCTCTACTGTCCCATTCATTTAGTCTTGCCCAGTTTTATACATCAAACTCTCCCCTGATTTCAGGACTGCATTTTTTTATCTCTTAACAAAACAGACACCGCAGTTTATATTTTATATTTTTACCTCCAGTTCTGGTGTGACAGAGGTTTCAAATGGATGCCATTTGCTGTGATCAGAAGTGTGCTTTCAAATATACTTAAATATTTTATAGATGAGCACCCAAAAGGAAGCAGAGCCTAGAAGAAAAATAACTGCTACATCAGCTTCTTCTCTGTGACTGCTGATGAATTAATGATTACTCTTTTACATCCCTTATCCCAACAGCAGGCATGAAAGGCTTTAATATTCAGGATACCCAAAGATGCTAGAAGAGGAAGGCCCAGGTGGAGTCCTAGATAAGCTGTGATGAGCTGGGGCCAGTCACTGGGAGAGGGAGAGTTGTGGGAACTGGTCCTCTGGGAGCATCCCAGGTCATCTGCAGGCAGAGGGAGCAAGGAACCACTTCCTGGGAGTCTTATTTTCCCTACTTGTTGCATTTTAAGGCATACAATATTCAAAACTTGTGTAAGAGTGTATATATATATTTGTGTGTGTGTGTGTGTATACTGAGACATGGGGCTGGCGAGAGAGGGAGAAAGTAAACACATGGTTTATATATTTGGATTTTTATAAAGGTAGAGGAATCAAAGGCATTAGAATGACAAGCTAGACCAAAAAAAAAAAATACACACAGCTGTTCCTCATAAGCAGAAAGGGAGAGAAATGTATCCAAAAACCAAGTTCACCATAAGCTTTTGATTAACCAGACCAGCTGTTATTTAATTCAGCTTTCTCTGAAGCATTGAGTTTTTTGGACTGCCCTGAAAATAAAAAGGTTTGGGCCTATCTAAATAAGATATGGTACTTTTTTTCCTCATCTTTTTCCTTCTGATGGGGTTTCCATTTGACATTTGTTTGGTTTTGTTTTGTGTCTTCAGTCTCAATGTTTCAGAAAGCAAAGCAGTCTGGAGTTAAGTGCTGTACACAGAGCCTGGTTGATCTTCTTCAAGCCTCTAAAGCTATCTCCAATGACTGTCATATTAGTGGGATAAAGAAAGGTACAGTGATCCATGGCACCAGTTTTCCTTCTTTCTGTGCTGTGCTCTGAACTAATTTCTTGAGGATTAAGTGGATGCTGAAACAGCAGTTTAAAAATTCTTTGCTTTGATCTGAAATACCTGATAAAAACACATGGATTTCTGGAGTTTGTCTTTCTCTGTTTCTAGTATTTTTTATATCATTTACCAGCCTGAATGCCTCTACTTTATTTATCTTTTGTAGTGCATATGTAATGATTCTTAGGCTACAGATGAAGACAAAATCCTGATGTGGGTAAAAGGAAAAAGTAACAAAGGAAGAGTAGAGAAGAAAAAGCAATAACATGAGATCAAATGTTATTTATGCTTGTACAGCCTTTATACATATATTTATGAGCAAACATAGCTACAACCCACCTGTAACTTTGCCCTGTTAGCCAGTCACAAAGCATCACTCCCTCATTCATTATCAGCTATTTCAAGAGGCTTCAGAGATAAGAGCAATGATATTTTCGAGTGTTTGTTTCCCATTTCTTAGTACAGGCTGATGTCTGTTCAGTATGTTGCCATAGTCCCTACTTACTCACAAAGCACAATAATCTTTTCCCCACGTTCCAAGCTGCCCATTCATGCAAATGTTACATGAGACTTGTATAAAAAGTGGGTTTATCCTAGCATCCTTATCTCTGTACTTGATCTAGAACTAAAATATTTTGTGTGTGAGCAGGGAGAGACTGACCACACTGAGCCAAGAGAGGAGATGTCAGGCCAAGCTGTGCTCGTGACCTGAGGATCTCTGGAAGCTCAAAACTGTCATTCTTTCCTCTTCAAACACTATCCTCACATTCTTCTGTAATTTTACTCCTAACAGTGAGTCCAATCTCCCAGGAGCTTTAGAAATGAGCTAGGGCACCAAAGGCATTGCCATTTCTTTTTAGCATCTTCAAGCTGTTTTGAATCAGTGGTGCTGTGTCTTGCAGAGTGAAGGCCATAAATGGGGCAGTGTTTTTCTCTCCTGGTTACTAATTGGCCTGTGACAGTGACATTGATATTGTAGTTACAGACACATGCAGATTGGAAATTAATACACTGAGATTGAGAGTTATGACAGCATTTAAAAGTCAGACCATCCGAGCTCTATGAAATCGTTTAATAAAAGCTGAGTGAAAGGATCTAAGCAGCATGAGAAAACCTTGGATTACCTGATTTAAATTTGATACTTAATGAAAACATAAATATTTCAAACCCATGAAGTTATTAACTAAATTAACCACCATTATTTCAAAGTTACAATTTACTCATCCAGATCATCACATCAGTCAGTTCAGTCTCCATTCAGACTGACAGAGCTGTGCCATTGTACACAGCTTGAGCCCTACATCATGATACTGATAAAGTCATATACCTTTTTTAACCATACAGCATTTAGAGCATGAAGGTTTCTTTTTGACAGCTACATACACATTTGTCCCATGACTTGAGAACCACAAAACCACATTGAATATATATGTATAAAAAAACCACTTATGATAACTTACCATTCTGTAGAGTTTATCCTCCAGATCCTGATTAATTCTTTGTAAGGCTAGGTAATTGTTTTGTATCCTAAAATAAAGATGACATCATGTAACTGAATGCATTGTTTTTCAAAAGGTTGTTTTTTACCTGGATTTTCACATCAGTACAAAACCTTGGCTTGTACGACTTGAAAACTATTTACTTATCACTCCTGTTGCCAGCCAGTGGTTGCCTTTGAAATGCAATTACCACCTGCTTCCTAAGCAAACTTCTGTCAGGTTTACTTACTATATTTAGCAGCAAATTCCACCAGGAAGTGAAAATATCTTAGCCATTCTGCACTTGTGTGCAGACACTCATTACAGCATAGGAACTTGCACAAGGAAATTGTACCTTTTACATCAGGCTCAAGAATAATATGTGAGAGAGGAAGTTTGAGCTGTATGCTTAGGCAGCACACACAAAAAAAGATTCATGAAGCTCTCAATAAAAACTTTTACACTTGCAGCAGAATCCTAATGAGTGCAGCAGCACGTGGGCATCAATATGTGACTTAGAAGATAATATTCCTTCTTTCAACAGAAGTTCCAGGAACTGCATATTCTCAAGAGGTAAACACATCCTCTTCAGGAAATATATTTAGGTAGCTTATCTGGGAAAAGATGGGTATTTATTTTTATCATCACTTAGGGATTGAATGGACTCACAAAATGAGGCTTCCCTGCCTATTCCAGAGCCATACACCAAAGAAAACTTCCAGCCTGTACATCTTTAGGTTACTTAGAGGGTAACCTTGGTATTGTATTGAACAAGCTGCACAGCCTATGGGAAAAACATCTCTATTTTGGTAGTAGTTGTGTCTTTCTCTTCACAGAAGGTGAGGAAGGTAACTCCCTGTTCTTGTTAGTACCTCTCACCTCAGCAGGATGTATAACAAGTGTAAAGCAAATGTTAGAAGCTCAGCTGTGAAAAGTTTGTGTCAATAAATCTATATGTTTGTACTGATCAATAGGTCAAAGTATTTTCAGCAAGGAGGTGATATTAGGTAATGTGTGTGGCACTGTAGGAGTGAACTCAGATGTTGTACAGATAAACACAGCAGAGAAGCACTTTCTCTGAGAAACCTGGACCTGGGTGTAGTTTCCATCATGATCAGGATGGGACTGGGATTACAGAAGTCTCTTTGGTTTATCATTTGGCTAGGAGTGACTTTTTGCAACAAAGATCTGTATTTGAACAATGCCATGGCTGCAAATTGAGGGATCGAACCCATCCCTTCCTGGCAACGTGATACTTCAGGTCTCTTCTGGCTTCTGTTGCCATGGAGATTTTATTTCCAGTTAAATGATCAAAATTCTCCATTTGGGGCAGGCCAGTGGTTTGCAGTTCCCATCTTGAGGCATGCAGAACTCTGGCAGGGGCTCCCAGCAATGCAGTGACATCTGCTGCACAGACCTGAGAGGGGAGGTCTGTGCCAAGGACATCTGCTTTGGGGTATAAATAATGACATCCTCAGAGGTGAAACTCCCCAGGGTACCATGGGTCAGCCCAGACTCAGGGCAGCTATTTCCAACATGCATTGCAAGCTTGGAGGAAGTTTCAGCACTGCTTACTTTTTGCAGAGCTGCTGAGCAGAGATTTCCTCCCTTTCGGGAGGTAAAGTGCGTTTCCTAGGGTGGTGACCCAAACGGGCTGAAAACCTGTGTACTTATACTGTGATCATTTCTCATCAGGTGTCACAGTTTTATTGTGCAGTATCCAGGGGAATATAAAGATTGATTGGAAGTTTACAATTCTCTGCATTGTCCATGCTCCTCACAGCTTTTACCACTAAGCCCCTCTGCAGACATTTGTTTGTGCAGCTATAGGTGTACTTAGGTTTTTCACAGCTAGTGAGCTGACAGCAACAGAGACAAATCTCAGGGTAGTCTGTACTCAGCTTTTCATGGCACAGAAGAAGGCAGAGATGAGCTTGGTAAAACAGTAGAAACAAGGAGGGCTAAATTGGCTTTGCCTGCAGCTCCTCAGCACAAACATTTTATTTTGGTGGTGAGGCTGTGTGCTGTGGTGAGGGAAACAAAGGTTTAGAAAAATAAGATAATGCCTGCTGACTGAGATCAGAAGTGCTATGGTATCTTCTCTGTCATGGGCTACAGTTTTTCTCTAGTACAGAAAAATAGGTGAGGTTAAAGTTGCTTTGCACCCAGGCAGTTCGTGGCTTAAGCAGAGGTGGTATAAAAACTGGTGTAAACATTTAGCACCTGCAAACTTCTAAAAGTTTGCATAGGTTCAAAGGCATCTGCATAAATTCCTGAAAGAAAAGGGGGGGAAAAAGTTGTTCAGGGGTTTTCTAGTCCATGCGTCTCTATACTCCAGTCTGTTCTGCAGTGGTGACCTATGTGCAAAGCTCAAGGGAGACCCTGAAGGTTTCCTTTCCATAACTTTGAGACCATGAATAAAACCAGAAGTAATTGCAACTTGGATATCAGACTTATGATGGTGACAGTGCATCACTGGGTTTGCTCTCAGCTTCTGTTGTCACTTTTTCTCTTGATATGAATGACTGAAATGTTGATTACCATGACTATAATTGTTTTTCAATGGCAACACTTCCATGCTACAGATGGTGGCAGAAGGTTTTTGCAAGAGCTTATCACAATCTGCTTCTCTGTTTACAAGTTCTTTTGCCTTTGCCCATCAAATTTGTGTCCATTGTGTGTTTAGGAGAAAGTAGCCCACAAATGCTAGTTCTCTAACACATTCATTTTGCACTGAAAAAATTGACCACCTCCCAGTAAAGTCAAATCTAGTCTAAACAAAAAATTCAGAGTAGGAAGCTGAGCTTCAAAAAGTGTTTCTATTGAGAACAATATGCAAAGGTAGTAAAAATAAGCACAAACACATACACACATACACAAGCACATACACATGCACATATATGCAGAAAAACCCAAATTGGAAATTTGCTGTGCCAAAAGAAGTGTCAGTAAATGTAGGTGGCAAGGAGAGAAATGGATCCAGAAATATATGGGGGAAAGTGTTAAAGGGCTAAAAGAGGAACTGAGTCAGATCAATCTTCGGGCAAAACTAAAATAAAAGGAAGGGAAAACAAAGAGTAGGGAAAAATATTTAAATTTGAAAATGACCATATGAGCAAATGGTAACTTAATTCTGTTTGCAGAAAGAATACATCTAGATAGCCTGAATATTGTGAAGTCTGAAATACTCTCTACTCTTGTCTTTGATACTGTCTCCCATGGCATAATCCTGGAAAATCTGGCAGCCCGTCACAGTGGCTGAACATGAGCCAGCAGTGTGCCCACGTGGCCAAGAAGGACAATGCCATCCTGGCCTGTATCAGAAATAGTGTGGCCAGCAAGACTAGGGAAGGGATTCTCCCCCTGTACTCAAACTGGTGAGGCCACACCTTGAGTGCTGTGTCTGGTTCTGGACCCCTCCATTTAAAGAGAACATTGAGGTGATGAAGCATGTCCAGAGAAAGGCAACAAGGCTGATGAAGGGTCTGGAACAAAAGTGCTATGAAGAGTTGCTGAGGGAGCTGGGGTTGTTTAGCCTGGAGGAGGCTCAGGGGAGACATTATCACCCTCTACAACTACCTGAAAGAAGGTTGTGGCCAGGTGGAGCTCAGCCTCTTCTTCCAGGCAACTAGTGACTGGATGAGTGGACATAGACTCAGGCTGCATGAGGGACAGTTTAGGTTGGACATTATGAAGAATTTCTTCCCAGAAAGGGTGATTAGACACTGGAATGTGTTTCCCAGGGAGGTTGTGGATTCACCATCCCTGGAGGTTTTCAAGATGAGACTGGATGTGGCACTTAGTGCCATGGTCTAGTAACCATGGTAGGGTTGGACTTGATGATCTTGGAGGTCTTTTCCAACTCAGTTAATTCTATGATTCTATATGAAATCCCCAATCTCTTTTCAGTCACTTTTCAAAGCTGAACTTATGCTTTGTGGCTAATATTTTTCAAACCTACTCAGCACTGCCCTTTTGCTTTTGCTCCCACTAGGAAAAAAATGTTGAAAATTTGACAAGTGAGACACATAAATGATCTTCTTGCTTGTGTAAGAGAGGGGAGGCCTAGCAGCAACATAGGTAATTCTGGATAAATTAAGACAAAGACTTTCAGAAAGGATTAGAAAGGATGGCCATTCAGCCTGTCAGAAAAACATTGCACTTTACAGTAATGGAAATTTAATAACAGAAATGTTCTCTAGTATTCAAGTGGGATCTTGTTACACAGGGCTTATTTATTTAGGGGGGGGGTGAATTTCTCTCCCTGTGTGGTGAATAAAGGAAGAGACACATTATTGAAACTAATTCTAGTTCTTTGTTTTTCCCAGGTTGATTTTCCTCTGTGATATGTTGCTGACATGCTTTTGGATGACAGGGTTTTTTTTCAGACATTATCCTTCTCCAGGCTGAGAAATCTGGTTGTTCAGCTTGCAGGATGCCTTGCTATTCTCAACAGAAACATTTTTAAAGCTCACCTCGTAAAATATTTTTGGCTTCCATTATGATATGTCTTCAGGGGAGTAATCACCTGCCTGAAACATAATTTTTAATATAAGTTTTCTTCATAATATGGTACAATGTTCCATTAGAATATTGGAAAGTCAGTTCTGTTAATGTGATGTTTGGGTATGAGTGCTAGACTTTGCTGTGACTGCCTGGCCTGAGTTTCAAAGGGTGCTTAACTCATTAGTGCCCAGTTGAGAAGAGCCTTTTGACAGACTAGGAAAGCCCTTTGTTTGAACAGAAATGAGCTGCTCAGCCCCTCTGCTGCTTTATGGCAGCTGTGTTTGAAATAATACTTCAAGAGACCAGTGTTCCCTGGCCTGGAATGTACTGGAGTAAAACTACATCAAGAATGAAGTTACTTTCAAAGTGAAATGACAGGGAAAATATTCTTGGCAAGAAAACTACTCGGAGAACCTCCAGACTGCTCTTCATAGATGTGTGTAGATTTCAAAATCACCATGACACCTGCATATTTTAGACTTGTTTTTAAGAAGCATCCCCAGTTAGAGAACCATTTAAGTTATAAGACCACACTAGGATGTTTTCTAACTTGAGACCTTACAGCCTCATTCTATTTAAAATTTTTATAAAATGGTTTGGTTGAATCGGTTTATTGGTGATTTCTGGCTTTGGTTTGGTTTGGCTTTTGCCTTCTGCAAGGAATGAAAAATGTTTCTTTGAGTATAGCCCTGGAATGGTTTGTTTTGAGTTGCATTTTGACTCATCCAATGGACTAAACCAGATATTTCCATTATGACATCAGTTTAGCAAAGTCTCACAAGAAATGCAAACACATTCCTGTTCAAATGGATAATTCTCATTTCAGAAGTTTTTGCAAACAAATGAAAAAATGGATAATAAGGATCACTGATAAATTTAATGCTAGGTTACAGACCATTTCAGTCAGTGCCAGGAATGTCAGGAGTGCATGCTTACCATAATGTATCATTAACTAGGTCCCTGATTTGCCATATCACTGTACCACAGCCACAACAGTTTTAAGTAACATTCCATTCTACTTGAGACTAAAAAGGAAATTATTTGCTGCAGCACAAGGTGAAATGCCTTAATATTATTTGAATTGAGCATAGCCTCAGCTTTGAGTGACCATGAGCCAAATTCTATTCTCTTGCATCAGTGCAATGGAGGGTGACACCAGAAAATGTGCAGTCAAAATCATTAGAAGAAGGTTTTATCTGTATATATACAGTATAAATGTATATATATATATGTGTGTGTGTGTGTGTGTGTGTTGTGGTTATAACCTTTGTATGTGTAACACAACATGGCACTAACCCATGTTTGTTTACACATAAACATTGTTATATATGCACCTATATAAGAGCATTTCTATTCATGTAATTGTTTTATACAGAGGCATCTTACATATCACATGTAAGTAACTTCATGTGGCATGTAGCATCTCTACAGGGAAGTGAAATATATATATTTAATATGAAAACACTATGTACAATCAATAAACACGTTATGCCTGTTTGCCACTAGGCTTATTTTTACTTACATGTATCTTTAATAGAGTCACTTGCAAAGTCCCAATAACGTTTTATTTCAAGAAGTTAGCTACTAACCTTCGCAGTTTTTCAGTTACTTTTTCAAGTTCCTCCTGAGCACGTCTCAATTCTATTTCCAGGTACTGACGCGTAGAATCGAATTCCGTTTCAAGCATTTCCAGCTTATGGGTAGTGTACGAGAGACGCTTTCGTAATTCCCCCTTCTGTTCTTGCAAAGTGCTAGAAAAACAAAGACCACAGCTGTAGAATTGAGCTATTCCCAAAAAGCTTGTCATGATCCATTCTTTGACCAGGTCCCTAGAGTATCAGTTGGCATCAAGCCACACAAGTGTGCTTAATAACTTGTTTACTGCACTTTGAAAATCTTCTGATTTAGACAGTTGACTATCTTCCCATCTGTCCTGTCTACTGCATTTGTTGCTACTATCTCATTACCCAGAATGGAATATTTTCTGCAAGAATCTTCATTAAAATACCAAACACAGTCTAAAGTTTGGTTTAATGCAGGACTTTTCATTTAGAGTTATCTTACCATGACTGAAGTAACAGGTGTCTATAGAGCAGCAACTCTAAATAAACTATGCAAATATACTCCCTTGCCTAAAATCCAAGCTACAATTTTCTGGAGAAACAAAATTTTGTCTTATTTGATTCCATTTCCAACCTGGCCATAGAGATGCTAGAGATATTGTTCAGCATTTCATCTGAAGAATGGTAATCAATATTATCATAGTTTTAAGGTTATGGCTCTTT